ACGAGATTTTCTCTTGTGTTTTCTGATTCAAAGCTCCCACAGCACTCAGTGGGAAAAGAGGACATATAAAATAGGGAATAAACCCAAACCTGAACCTTACTTTAGTTAAGGAACCCATGGAATAATTAGAGAAGATGTGTTTTGAGAATACTTCATCTCCTAAGCTAAAATATAGGAAAGACAAAATTGTACTGCATCACTTCCTCAGCTTCCTTCACCTTGGTAGTTGGAAAGGGACATCTTCAGCAGCAATCAGTGAGAAACAACACAGTACAGAGCAAAGACAAACTGAATTCAAGTCACATTTTTTTCTTCATAAGTCTTCATCACCTGCACAACATAGGGTGTCTAAAATCAATGCAAAGTTAACCTGATGATGATTATAACTGACAGCTGCACAGTTTTAGAAGCTGAAGAACAATTTCTTGAGAAAATTGAGGGGGGAAAAAAAGCCCCATGTTAAAATGTCCTGCAAACCAGAAGATGAAATTACAGGTGGGAAAGGCCTGTGGAAAGATTGATTTCACCTCGCCATACAAAAATAAGAGCAGCTGTTATTAGAGGAGCAGCTTTTAAGAGTGCCATTTTAGACTGATGCAAGCACCCAACAAAGGGAGCAGGAAAGACCCTCCTAGTTCCACCTGTGTTTGTGGGTGAGTGTTATCCCCTACCCCATCATCCACAGGGATCTGTAGTCAAGGCAGATGAGAGACTGCTGAAGTCTGCTTCATCCAAACTCCTAGAGCCTTTGTGCTTTTAAACTGACAAGTGCACAAACAAGAACAGTTCTTAAAGTGACTTGTAAGCTATTAATTTACTCTTACTACTGTATTAACTGCACTTCAGACATGTCATCCCCCCCAGCACAGATCTGTAACATAAGTTTCTCAATGGAACAGAAGCAGCTGAAGACAGACAAGTGTGAATATAAACTGCACTTTGCGAGTTGCTTTTGTGCATGAAGAGGTAAGAGCAAGATGGTTTTCATGGGAAAAAAAAAAATCCACCCACAACCCAGCCTATTTTAGATTTTAGCTTACTACATTTGGGAAGTGTATTTTCAACTAGCAACCAAAACCTCCCACTTATCAACAAGATTTCCCCCAGAAGAATGCAATTAATTTTCATAGCATCTTTCCCAAGGGAGGCAGGCAGGAGCAAGAACCCAAAGAATACACTTGCTCTTTCCTACATATAGGCATGATGACTCCTTCCCAAAATCTGAATCGAGGGCAACAAAGGAAAGAAACTTTTCCTCTCTCTCATGTCTCTTCATTATCAGATCTCTGGCAAGCAGAGATTAGAGGCAGGTTCCTTCAAGCCACACTGGCAGAGTAACAGCAGTAGTATGGGCAGAAACTAGCCCTATCAATATTCCAGAGGCTTCTGCACACAAACAGGGCTCTTGCCACACTGGAGAAGTCTTGTGGAGCTGTGAGGAGGGCAAGAGTTGTCTGAATATGCAGTTAAGCCAGGTTGGCCACATTTTTGAGCCCAACCAACTACCTTATTCAGAAAGCAAATAGCCAGAAAGCAGTGTCAATGGTTTGGGACACAAATGTGTTTTATTTCCACATAGCAGGGAAGATCAACTTGTCAAGCAAGCTTAGTTCTTCCATCACCAAATGATGGCAATTAACTCACTGCAGGTCAGCCTGGAGGTCTGAAAACTTCATGCGAATGAGAGGCCTTAAACCTCGTACTTTAGAGATATTACATATTCCCATTGCTTTTTATCTTCTGAACTCACCTACCACAGTTGGAAGAGGAAGAATTCTCTCTCATTCCTAGTCTCTCCTGAACCTATACCTTTATTTGTTTCTTCTTTAATTTTCCTATTCCCACAATTCTCTTTCATTGCTTGGAGCAGTATGTTCCTCAAACACCTGAAAAAGGTTTTTCCACTCACAATTTCACAATGAAAGCTGGGAAAGACAGGATAAAGGTGTCCTGCTGCCAGAAGTAGGCACTTCTGGAGTAACTGAGTAATTTGGCAAGACAACTATACATTTTTAAGTTCATCTACACTTCCCTTCACACTATCAGTAAGTCACTACTTTCAAAAAATGGCAGAGTTAAAGTAGTTAAAGTTTCCATTAGAAATCACAGCATTTAAAAGGAAGTGTAGGGAGAGCTGTTCCAAGATCAGAAGAATGAAGTCCCGCTTTTTGGACATTATGTAAATACCTTGAAAACTTTTACTGTACAATGCAACAAATCTGGTTAAAATTACATGAAGCATGATAATAAGAGAGGAGAGGGCTATACCATGCTGACAGTATATTTAATGATAGCTAAAAGGGAAAAGAGGTAGGATGTGAAAATGGCTGAACAATGGTTGACAAGGATGACTAAACTGAACATGTGAAACAGAGCATCTTGTCGGACGCAGAGGTGTCTTCTGAGCAAACTGGCCATGATGCATACAAGGTCTTACAAAAGAAATGGGAAGGACACAGTAAATACTGCACTGGAAACGCAGCAGACAGGAACAAAGGAGCAAGCCCCAGGAGGAGGCAGCATCTTGGAAGACAGCACAGATAATGATGCTGCTTGAAAGCATGCAGAAGACAAAAGTCTCTCGGAGGATCTGGAAACTATTGCTCTACTACACAAACAAGGTGATAATGGAGACCTGAGAAAGCACAGCATTTATAGACAATTGGTCTGTTGTCTACAAAGTTTTTACCGAAGTAAGTGAGGGTAAAAATCAAAAAGAAGACCTCACTAAGGCAAAACTTTGTAAAGTCCGAGTTAGTAGAAATACTTACCAATAACCTACTTGTTCCTGCAGAAATAGAGGTAGCAGTGACAAAGAAAAAAGGGGAAAACCAATCAATGACAAAAAACTTAGAGTACAAAATATTAAAGATTACACCTGGGAAGAATATATGCAAATCAAAAGTTAAAATTACTCTGTAGGATGTTCCCAGGACTTTAACTCTTAATTCTAAATATAATAATGTTTCATTTTAACAGCAACATTAACTGAGATATCAAAAGTAGTTATAATTACATTTATCATTCAGTGCAACAGAGAAATGATACCTAGTAAAAGTACAGTTTCAAGAAAGTCAAAGACATGTGTCAAAGCGTACTTGTTTTCTTCTGCTTCTCATCTCATTTTGTAATCACACATACAAGACTTTTTATCACCTCAGCACAACAGCAGCCTTTCCTGCATTATTATACATTATTTTTTTTCCTCTCTTCAGCTCTCAAAATAGCAGTCCTCCACAGAGGGCACCTATTTCTTAATTCTGCAGGGAAACATCCAACCTGTGGACTAATGTTCTGCCATTCACTTGAAACTGCTGATAGCAGAGTAAGTATGTTTGCTTGTTTAGGTCTGTTGGGGTTTCTTTTCCTTTCTTTGTCCCCCAAGTAAAGGTATGACTTATGACTGAGGCCTGAGCTTAGCAGAAAAGTCCAGGCTGGAAAACATCATTCATCCTGAGAATAAAGGGATTTTGTTTAAGGATTAACACTGTAAAAGTACTGACATCTCTGCTTATCATAAAGCAGCCTTTTGTTTTTAAATGCAAAAGTCAGTTAGGAGAAGTTCACTCTGCACTGACCCCTCTATTCTTCCAACTTGAAAAGTATTTACCTTAGTGTAAGGACTGTTGCAGAAATGGGGCAAAGGGTTACAAAACACCAGAAAGGTGCACACTGGAGTTAGATCACTCAATCTTTCAGTATTAACATACTTAAGTGTTTAACAGGAATTATGTATAGATTTCTATTAAAAAAAGTAATAGCAGTTTCTTAAGTTTGAATGATACACCTTCATGTACTAAAATGACTAGTTTTGCAAAAGCTCCTATTTCTAAGACAGAACCTTTTAATCACATCTGGGGAGGCACCGTAGTGAAGAGAGCATGCAAAGTGCTAATAAGAGGAATAATAAAGATGAGATATCAACCGGTTAAGAGAAAGAACTGAACCCATAAAGAAATAACCTCCCAGCCAAGTTTTCTTAACAACTGTCAGTAAAAGCTGAAGAAAATCAAGCTATTGACTTACATGCTTTAAACATATCAATCATGACAGTTTCATCTATATTTATGTTCTTTTGCCTCTATTAGGAGAGTACAGAGCACACGTACCATATTCTACAAACTCTAATATAACATCCATAAGTCACAAACAAGCTAAACTTTCAGATGACATGCCACATCATTCCTGCCACAGCAACTAAGTCAGCAATGTACTTCTTGCTTTTTCGTGGTTAAACTGCCACTGTTTGAACACATGGTTAAGACATATTTTGTGTTTCACTCACATTTTAAGTGACCTTTGTAGAAAACACGCAGTAGCATTAGCTGGTTTTTGCTGTTCACAACTGCTGCATTGGTCTATCAGTTAAATTGTTGAGGAAATTGATTAGTTGCTCATTTTAAACACCGGTGCTTGTAAGAGAAACATCCTGTTTTCATTAACCAAAGCCTTATCTAATGAGACTCTACCACAGATCCCAAACACAAGTGACCAAGCAGTTAAAACATAAATAATAAAATAATAGTAATATAAATAATAAAATGCTCAGAAAAATAACTATAAAATTCTCTGGTTTGAAGGAAGAAAGCTCTCTAGAACAGTTCCTGAAGGCAGCATAAAGGATGCTGGAGCTTGAGCCTACAAGCCTCTCAGCTTATGTACGCGTTCATCCCTTCATCTTCCTTATGTCTCCTGGCAGCGCTACCTCCTTTGCTCTTGCTGTCTCTTCCTGCCTGTGAGTCAGCTGGTGGGGACCAGCCTAAGCAAGCAGGACTCTGAGCTTTCCCAGTGGGAAATTCCACAGCATGGCCATCAACAAAGGAGTGAGATTAAGCCAAGTATAAGTCATCAGCTCTGGTGAAAAGACAGAATTATTCAAGTTCTTCTATAGTAATCTCTATCAGTGTTAAAGACAGAGGAGAAATAAGCCACAGGCATGTAAAGGACAACCTCTGCCTCCCAGCTTTGTCATTTTATCAAGTAACTTTAAAACAAATAAATCCCCTCAAGTTCCACAGCTGTATCAGTGGCAGTCCTGTTGCACTGTCATAATTTGCTACCTGGAAACACAGAAAAACCAGAGTGGGCAGCAGTTGTGGTGTGAGCCATGAAGGACGCAAGGCCAGCATCATTCCCTCCCTGTCAGATACCCTTCCTATGTGTAGGCTGGAGGAAATGCAGCTCCTGCCACCAGGCAGCAGCTGGAACACCCTTGGCCAAGTTCGCTTTCATCACTCAAATCCCTCCCCTGGCTTTCTGCCCACATCACTCACAAGAGAGAACACTCATCCCTTCCCAGCCACACAGCCCTCAGCGGTACCTGATGCTACACCAGGAAGTTCTCAGCACCACGATTTCTCAGCAAGCCCCTGCCCAGCAGCCAGACTTGCAGGCTCTGGCTTTGCTGTCTGTGCTCACACACACGCAGGATGCGGGGTGCCCAGAGTCGCAGCAGCAGCAGCACCATCAGCAACAGGACTTTCCCCAACAGCTCCACGTACCTGCGCCACAAGGACCGCGCCTCTGGTCATCTCGCCAACAGCCGCGTCAGCTTCAGGGGAGAAGCGATCCTCGTCTTGGGAAGAGCAGGAGAAAACAAAGGAGGGTCACAGGCTTTAAAGGCCAGAAGGGACTATTAAGCTCATCTTGCCTGACCATTAGGCCACTGAATCGTCACCCACTGTTGCTGAAACCAGTCTGTTAAGCTGGAGATCACACAAGCATTATGCCTGCTGTGTTGCTGAAGGGAAGAATGAAGCGCTTTCTAAAGCCACTAGCTAAGTTGGTATGAATTTAAGCTGCTGGTGAATTAGGAGGCTTTAAAGACAGAAAAGTGCATATCTGCAGGACCTTTGAGCTGTCGTTAGGATTTTGATCCTTAATGAACTAAGCTCAAGGGCCTCAGGACTTCACTGACCCTGAAGACACTACTGACCCACCTGACCCCCAGCTCCTACAGGAGCCCCTTCCGTACAAGGCAGCTTTTTAGGCCCCCAGCCATCAGGCATCTCTACCACCACGGCACTCTGCCAGGGCTTGAACGGTAGCATTTTGAACACAGAACCATACACGTCAGCCACTTCAGTAGGAAAGTATCAGATACTGGTTTAACACATTAAAACTAAGTTCGCATTTACAGCTACTTGATGACAGAAGGTGGCAGAGTAGTTACAGCTACTTCACTCAATACACTGCCAGCCCTGCCAACTTGCTCTTTAGGAGAGTAATTCGCTCTCTCCTCCAAGCAGGAAAAAGCCTGGACATTTATCATCTTTCCCCTGGAGTCTGACAGGTTCTGCCATGCTAGCACATTTAGAAGGATAAAATTCATTCTTTCCAGTCCTTGCTCTAGTCACACCAGAGGCTCTGCTTGCAATAGGAGAGGGAAGCTTCAGGCACAATCCCTTCCCTGCTTGCCCACCGCTGGCACCCACTGACACTACAGGAGGACCGCCAATTGTACTTGTCGGGAGCTCCATTACCTGGAAGAGGCACCACATCATCCAGTAAAACTTCTGCTGCTTGGAAAGGCAGCGATAAAAAGTCAGACCTTAAAGAAAAGAGAATCCGTCAGAATAAGAACAGGGCTTGAAGTCACTCCTGTGTTCTTTCAGGTGACATTGATTAATCAATTGCTGTAACAGGGATTTAGTTTAAAATTGACGACAGTCAAAAACAACCTTCCAGCACCCTAAGCAGCAGCAATCCATTGTCTGATGAGTATGCCGGGTTGGACTGGGCTCCAAGCAAAAGACACCAGCATGGAGCCTGGACTGCTTTCCTCCCACCTCTGGGCACAATCAAGTATTGAATGGGCTTGTGTAAGAAAACCCTCTTCCAATACAGCACTTCCAGACAGCGGGGCTGGAGCATAGAGAATCCTAATCTTATTCCTAGCTCAGCAGCTAACTACACCTTGGGGCCTCCCAAAGGCATCCTTTTGCTCAGCTGCCACGCTGAACTGACACAAGTCACAATTTCCTCTTCCCTCCCCTGCAGTAAAGCCTTGCAAGAGCCTGCTGTGCTGCCAGGGAGCCCACCCCTGCTGCCCAGACAAACCTTCCTACCAATTCCCACTTCAGCTGTGGAAAAACCTACAAGTAATTCAACCAATACAGATGCCTCTGATGAAGATTCAAGCCAGATACGGCCTCAGGCCATGGAAGAGGAGCTAGACACCTGATTTGTCTGAGTGTGTCGACCTTCACTTTGTCATATCCTCCATAGTCCACATATCTGAGTTCCACTTCACTGGTCTCTGCAAAGTAGCTGATAACTTGAGCCCGTAGCCATGCCCCATCCAGGCCTGGAGCTGCGCAGATAATACCAGCTGCAGAACGTAAGGGTAGAGAGAAGAAAGCTCAGTGGATTTCCAGAAATCAGCGCTTCAGGCATTAGTTATGACTAGTAACTCCTTTCCATGGGAGGCACCCTCCACTTCAGACCACGTACAGACAGTGACACTGTGAAGATGTGGGAGTAGCTCCACACTTTGTCAGCAAAAATAGACCAGGTGCCAGGCAAATAAGAAATAACCCAAGACTGACTGCTCTCCTTCTGAATTTCAGTGTGCAACTAAGTGGCTGGAGAGGTATTCAGGGATGAGTGGGGTAAGAGAACAGAGCAGCACCTTGTGCTTTACCTGTCAAAAAAAGCCCAAATCAAAAGAAATGGAATACCAAAGGAACTATCACATTCTCACGCACTGGGAAGCCTCCCAAGCCTAACTCAGGGCAGCAGGATTTCACATGACCCTTGAAGTTTCTCAAGTGAACAGTTTGTGAGCAGCCAAGTTACTTGCCTAATACTGGAGTTGGCAGGGCTGGAATTTTGGGCTCAGAGTAGCAGACAGACATCTGCTGTTCAAGGCTCCTCAGGACATGGAAAGTGGGGTGAGTGGGCTGCTGCAGGAACATGTGCCCTGCATCGACTTGGTGCGCCACAACCACATCCACTGTGACTCCATCCGGAAGGAAGAGCTGTCGCGTGGAGGAAAGAAGCTCTCATTAGTGTTCACTGCAACTCAAGCTCCATTCACAGCAGCTCCCGGTTCCACCAGCACCTCCTGAGGCTGGACAACAACCAGCCACACAACCCAGTTAAATCAGCTGGACAACAACCAGCCACACAAAATCAAACTGGGTTTGAGGGCATCTGTGAGCCAGCCACATGGATACAGCGTCCTACAATGGCAGTGACCAGCAACAGCCTTCCACCCTGACATCAGCACAGCCAGCAAGCTGGGACTCACCCAGGCATTCATGAGGAGGCGACGAAGTGTCAGTGGTGCTGGTGGAGGTAGATCATGGATGTTGGTGAGACACAGCTCCTTGAACTTCCTGCCAATCAGGCTCAGTGCTTTTTCTACTTGATGTGGGAAACCTGGAAGACACAAGTTCCACAGAAGGCCTGTAGCACAGATTTGGTGAGGACAACCCCAGCCTTGCCACATGAATCAACAGAGCTACCAGAAGCCTTCTGCACTACAGCAACAACTTCAGTTTCAGCACATTGGCCATGGAACCTGGTATGAGACCAGCACGAGCTGATACACATCCCATAGCTCCTCCTGGAGGCCCAAAGTGATCCTACAAACGGGGTTGGCTAAACTAGAGCAGATGAAGACATTAAAACACATTCTCACCTCTAGAACAGGGCTCACATGCCAAGGCACAGGTGACCTGGCACAGACTTCTACCATAAGAGCACTGAACAGAAAGCTTTGTAAAGCACAGGACTAAGAGGCACTAACCCTGTTTAAACTCCTTGCCCATCTAATTAAGGCCCCCAAGGTACATACTAGACAA